GAAAAAAGAGGTTTGTAAATGTAACTGAATGCCTCTCCTCTAAACCAAGCAAAGTATACTCTGTCTTCAATCTTCTCAAGCATCAAGGTGAAAAAGCATGAGCTGTTTGTTTTGCCCGAGCCAGGATGACAAATGCCATTCTGCTGGGAATAATTTCTCAGGCTGTTGGTATGTTTTCTAAACAAAATCTTATGAGAGACTTTTACACAGCCATAGCAGTTGGTGCAGACACGAGGCCACTGATTTCATTGGTGGCTCTGAACTGTTTTGCTGTGTTTAGAAAATAACCCTTCAAGAGATCAGGGGTGTCAACACCTGTATCAGCCTTCACGAAAGCAGAAAGGAAAATAGTTACTACCACACAAAAGCCCCAGCTGCAGCTAGCACCTACATGGTCATTAACACTAACAAACTTTAAATATAAATTTAATTAGCAAATTATGGAGTCTGTGTGTGAGAGGTAAAGGAAGAGTTGCTGGCTTTTTCACATAAATCTGCCTTGAAAATGAATGCAGGACCTTGTATAATTAGGGCTACACACAGAGAACACTCAGAAAAGGTCTTTGTATTATCTTCCTCCAGCAATGCCTGAAATGCAGATTCCTATTAAACAATAATGAGAATGTCAATTTGCACTATTCATGTTGTATTTTGCATTCAGAGGGATTATGGGTATAGATCATCTTAGGTGCAATCACACAGCACCTACAGGATGGACATGGGATGAGACCCAGCCAGTACATGTTTAGGAAGGGCAGGTCCTGTCTGACCAACCTGATCTCCTTTTATGATCAGGTGACCCGCCTGGTGGATGAGGGGAAGGCTGTGGATGTGGTCTATCTGGACTTCAGCAAAGCCTTTGACACTGTCTCCCATAATATACTCTTGGAAAAGCTGGCAGCCCATGGCTTGGACAGGGGCACTCTGTGCTGGGTTAAGAACTGGCTGGATGGCCGGGCCCAGAGAGTGCTGGTGAACGGGGCTGCATCCAGCTGGGGGCCGGTCACCAGTGGTGTTCCCCAGGGATCAGTGCTGGGCCCAGTCCTGTTTAACATCTTTATTGATGATCTGGATGAGGGGATTGAGTCGTACCATTAGAAAATTTGCAGATGACACTAAGTTAAGGGGGAGTGTTGATCTGCTGGAAGGCAGGAGGGCTCTGCAGAGGGACCTGGATAGACTGGAGAGTTGAGCTGATTCCAACGGGATAAGGTTCAACAACGTCAAGTGCTGGGTCCTGCACTTTGGCCACAACAACCCCATGCAGCGCTACAGGCTGGGCACAGAGTGGCTGGAGAGCAGCTAGGCAGAAAAGGAGCTGGGAGTTTGGATCAACAGAAGTTGAACATGAGCCAGCAGTGTGCCCAGGTGGCCAAGAAGGCCGATGGCATCCTGGCCTGTATCAGGAACAGTGTGGCCAGCAGGACCAGGGAAGGGATTCTTCCCCTGTACTCAGCGCTGGTGAGGCCACACCTGGAGTGCTGTGTCCAGTTCTGGGTCCCTCAGTTCAGGAAGGATATTGAGGTGCTGGAGCGGGTCCGGAGAAGAGCAACCAGGCTGATGAAGGGACTTGAGCACAAGTCCTATGAGGAGAGGCTGAGGGAGCTGGGGTTGTTTAGCCTGGAGAAGAGGAGGCTCAGGGGAGACCTCATCACTCTCTACAACTCCCTGACAGGAGGTTGTAGCCAGGTGGGGGTCAATCTCTCCTCCCAGGCAGCTATCAGTAAGACAAGAGGGCATGGTCTCAAGCTCTGCCAGGGGAGACTTAGGTTGAATATTAGGAAGAAATTCTTTACAGAGAGGGTAATCAGGCGTTGGAATGGGCTGCCCAGGGAGGTGGTGGATTCTTCGTCCCTGGAGGTATTTAAGAAGAGACTGGACGTGGCACTTAGTGCCATGGTCTAGTAACTATGGTGGTAGTGGATCAAGGGTTGCACTTGATGATCTCAGAGGTCCTTCCCAACCCAGCTGATTCTATGATTCCATGTTTAGCAAAGCTGTAATTATGGATTATTTCAACCAGAAAGAATGGATGGCCTCTCATTCACATGAGTGCACAGGACAACAATATCTTTCCTTTAAATCTAGGCCCCTGCTTTGAGGCAGAGCTGTTGGAAGATGAATTTTTGTCCCTGCCATTAATCCTTTTACCATTTTTCAGACAGGAAGCCGGTTAACCCAAGAGTGCAGTTTAAAATGGGAGGCAGATTGACGAACTGCAATGTCAAGTTTATGACCTGGAAGCTGCAGTTACCCAGAGGAATGTGACTGCAGGTAAAGACAGGTTGTGAGCTATGAGTCTATGTCTCTGAATCCCTCCTTAATCTCTGAAGCAATAGGGAACTTAAGCAAAATATAAAAGAGAAGACCTCATCTGTAATGGAAACATTTAGGTAGAAGACAAGGACCTTAAACAACCTTCAGGAAAAGTCAGAAAACTCAAAAGCCATATATATATATGCCTTCTTACACCACAATGCTGAAGTAGCACAACACAGCGACTCTCCAGTTAACAGCTTTAAACTGTAACTTGTCCTATCTTTTGCTTTGTAGGGACACCACAGAAAATAACAGGAAAGTTGCATTTAGGTGAAGGGGCAACTGGGAAACAAAGGATCCCAAGTAGTAGGAAAACAGGCTTCAGGAGTGGTTCTCTCCTTGGAATAGCTAAATTGGAAATCATGTGGGGCTGTCGAACAAGACTTTACCCTTTTAATTCAATTAGATATATGCCTATGATTGCAGGTGCTTTTAGAGGTTATCAAGACAGCAGTGAGAGCTTTCTAATCCTTGACTGAATTAACCTGGAACTTAAAACTTTAACAAAAATCTTTCTTCTCAGCTGATTGTTAGGTAACTTTTAAATGTAATGCTTATGTAATTCATGCAGTTTTAAAAGCTTCATTAGGGATTTCTACTTCTAACTGTCTGAAGTTGCTGCTTTTCTCTTTGTTATTAAAATCCTACTTTCAGTCTAACAAACACATGCAGCAAAATTGATGGGCAATACCTAAATTCCTAGTAACTTAACAGGAAAAAACCCCAATGATCTTTCAAGCTTTATTTCCATTCTGTGAAGAATATGAAGAACTGCAAATTTAATTATAGGTTCCTTCTGCAGGAAAATTTTAGTTGTTCCTGCCACAGGAAACAGAGAAATGCTCATTAGCATGCTGCTGAAGACAAGATACAAAGCCAATGTGGAAAAATAAAGAAGTGGGAGATATCTTTAATTAATGCACGAATATACTTGGTTTCTCTGGCTTTAAGCCAATCGAGTTCAGGGAAAAAGTTGGTGCAAAACTTGTAAGTCACATTGATGCTACTGAGCACAAGAAGAGCAGCTGTGACAGAAAGGAGATGATTTTTTTTTCCCAGCAGTGAGTTACTAGTGTTAAAGATGATGCAGAGATGGAAAATCTGGCTGAGGAGCTTGGATTTCTCTATGCTCAACATAGGAGCTCCATCAAACTATAGACACCTAGCCTGAAACGTGTTAAAACTCTGCAGTGTATTGTAGCTACCTTTTCACTTGTGTTATTTTAATTCCTATGTCTGTACTATTTAATGAATGTTGTGAAGTTTGCTTCTGTTTTTCCTTTCAAAACGGCAGAAGACTGCAGAGCTGTTGTAGTACAAGTAGTGTAAGAAGTTGTTTTCCAGATAACAAGTCAATATTAAAGAGGTAAATTAATTTTTTAAAAGCATTAATACTAGTACTTCTGATAAGGCAATCCAGACTTGCATCATGTAAAGATTTGTCCTTTCTGTTAAACTGAGTTGCATTATGCCACTGGCCTGACTTCAGGCCTATAGCATTTGGTCAGACCTATCTGTATAGGGATGGCAACTCTTACTTGCAGGAGCTGTGTTTTGACTGTAAAGGGGAAGGTGTTTTTGAAACAGGTTGTGTGAACTTCAGGAATTACCCAGGTAGACTAAACTTTCAGCCAGTTTGTAAGAATAATCTGTAGATCAGCAGCCTGAGCCTCTAGGTGTTTTCTCCATTCCTTCTCCATTTTCACATTTTCTTCCCTCTCCAATGCACTCAGGTCATGGCGTGTCTCAGTAATGTAAAACTTTCTACAAAAAGTTTCTACACTTCTTTCTGGGGTCATGTGATCTTTGTTCAGGCAATCCTCTCAAGCCCCTGCTTCAGGACACATCTGATGCATCTGCCCAAACAGGGTAGTTGCACGCTCTGGGCAGCTGCCAGCTGCTCTCCTGCTGCTTCAGCAGAAGGCCAGAGTCCCTTGGACATGCACCCTGAAATAATGCCAGAAACAGCTAACCACAGCTAACATCTTGGATTATATCTGTCTCAATTAACAAATTAGGTGCAGGATTACAGCTACACAGTAAAAATACCCTCACCTTTTTAGCTAAAGTTAGTGAGAAAGATTAGCATAGGGTTAAGAATTGGTACAGTCACACCACACTGTACAGATACTAATCAGGGCTAAATCACATCAAGGCTGATAGCAAGCCAATCCTTTGAGTCAGTGGGGATTTTTTTTTTTAGGGGTTGAAGGGTCGGCATTAAGTGGCTGCAACTCTGCTTTTTAGAAACCTATGAAATTGAAGACTAGAATTCACTAGGGAATTCAGGGTACAGATCATTAACACCCATCCACACCTTTTAATCTTGGCTTTCAACAGGGCCAGAAAATACACAGTTGTCGGGCAGATAGTCACATATCATAAAGTAGACTTTGAACAGCAGGAATCTTCTGCTTCACTGAGATGTCTCCTGCTGCAGGAATAAATGCCAATATACTCATTACTATGAATTGAAAAGGCATGGAGAGAACTGCAAAAATTGGAGATAATGGCAATTTTTGTGAGTAGTTGCAACTATCTGCAAATAGTTTTGTTATATTTTCTGTCAAGATCATCCATTAACTGCTTTTTGCAGACTAAACAAAGCACTATTCAACTGCTGCTATGCTGAGTCTTCACAACTGGAGGTTCATTCTTTTTTTTTTCCTTTCACCCTAAAGCTGTGCAGCTCAGGTCTTTCAACAAGCTTTAGGCATTACCAGGAAACATCCTTTCAATTTTGACACAAGAAGCAGCAATGTCACAGGAGGAAACACTCTAAGACCAAAGACAGTAAGTAATGATGGCATTGGTAATCACTTGATATGGTTGGAGATTGAGCAAATTTTTTGCTAGTTTGCAAGCTGTGATTGAGACCTGCCCAGGTAGGTCTCATGTGGACATTAAGTCAAATCCCTTTGAAGACTGATCTTTCAGAGTAAGGTGACAGGATGTATTGCTAGTTAACAGGGTGGAAAATAGTTCTAAAATTTGACTGAGAAAAGGGAGTAAGAGGGAGGTATTTAGTTAACAGTGGTCTAGGAAGTAATTTTTTTTGAGTACCATGCCTTGGTTGCTGACACTTTTTATACATTACTTATGTTTTCAGGTGCCTAGCAGATGAAAGGAGAGAATGGCTATTACTACACCTAAATGAAAAGACTCTTCCTAATGTCTTCACACAGCTACAGCAACAAAGGCTGATCCAGAAGTAAACCCAAATGCATTTTTAATCTGTCCAGGTCACTTTAGAAAATGCCACTGAACAGGCAACCTGTGATTGAAGTAAGAGAAGAATAATGTATATGCAAATTAAAGACAGGCAGAAATAGTGTCCTGCATATATACTTCAATGTAATTTAATCTGCTAATCCATTTTTGGTACTGGGTGATTCAGATCCTCCTCCTCCTGAGCAAGAGCAGCACTGCATGTCCTCCTTTCACAGACAATGCAGCACAGGAGAGAAAGGCAAGGACATCGGTGAAAACTAAAAAGCTTCCTTTGATTGTGGTAACCGTGGAACATGATGGTGCAAAACACAGCTAAGTGCATAGGGCAAAAATATTGGTGTCTGGTATTTTATTTGGTTTTGTTTTAGACTGCTTTCATGTTGGAACCCTTGCCCACCACATCCTGCCCAATGCAGTGTTCTCACCCCCCGAGGCTGCAGCCTGTACATTACACCTTTTCTGACTGTTCAAAGATGACTCATCAAAAGCGTTGTCTTGACCTTCCCCGGCACCCTCTCTGCCCTCACCCCAGAATGGGGAAGAAGTGCAACTCCTTCCCCAATGCTACACTATCTAGAAGAAAATAGAGAAAACATGTAAGTTTATCTGCATTTATCTTGCATGGCAAAAAAAGTTTGTTTCTATAGCCTAGCCAATAAGGGACTCAGAAGTGTCTTTCAGGGATGTGTCAAATTGTATTGCAGCTATGGATCAGTTAGAATACACCTATGTGCCTTTTGGCATCATCCATGTCCCTGGATGCTTGTCAACATGAACAATCAAACACTTCAGCACTACTTCTATTTCTATAACTAAGACTTAAATTCAGGTAAACCTTAACAGCATTGCATTGATTAAACATGAATTATGTAGAGATGCAGGATTCCTAGCATAATGCTGACATCCTTGAGCATTACAGAAACAAGCTTTATTTCATTCCAGCTTGCTGCTATATCCGGACAAGTCACAGTACACACAGAATGCTGTTATTTGGCTATTGAATAACATAGTATGCCATAAATGAAGGACAAAGTGAGTGATAACAATCAAATGTGATTTTAGCACATTCCAGGAACCAGATGACAATTTGGAAGTAGAGTGATAGCATCAGTATGAAGCACTCGTGCCATTGCAGTAGCAAAAAGGAAACGGCTGTCTCCATCTAATTACAGCCTTTTGTTAAAATACTTTAAGTATTACTCAATAAAACAAAATTCATAGACTATTTTTGAACAACTATTGTATCTACAGACTAACTTCAAAGAAAAACAGTAACACAAAACCAGTACTATAGGGATAAACAATGGTGCAGAGACTTTCAGTGCTACATTGTAACAAAAACTTAATTCAGTCCTTAACTGCGTGCAGTAGCTGGATGATTTTCTGGAAGGCACAACAATTTTAAGCACATCAGAAAGCTCTTCATTTCCACACAGCCCTTCCAGAACCGGGACTAAATTTTTGCAATTTCTCATCATATGAGACATAGTTATGTCAATACACATTCACACCTCATTCACTACCCACATAAGCATCGAGGTCATGATGTGAAACTGAGGTTCCTTCCCTCAGAGCTGGTTATCATTTTAGTCAGTCAGCAACCACAGAACTGCACACTCTCTGTTCTCCTGTTCAAGCATACTGACAGTTATTCCCTAGCAATTTCCCTACCCACGTGGGTACTGAGAGAACTGGCAGATGAAGTTGCTAAGCCACTGTCCATCACATTTGAAAAGCCATGGCAGTCTGGTTTAGTTGCCAAGTTGCCACTGACTGGAAAAGGGGAAATGTAAACCCACCTTTAAAACAAAACACAAAAAAAAAGACCCAAGGAACTACAGGCTGGTCAGTCCCACCTTGGTGCCTGCTAAGAAGACAAAGCAGATCCTCTGGGAATTTATGCTAATGCATGTGGAAAATAAGGAGGCAACTTGTGACAGCAAACACAGCTTCACTAAGGGCAAATCATGCCTGACCAATTTGGTGGCTTTCCACAGTGGGGTTACAGCACTGGTGAATGAGGGAAGAGTAACAGACATCACCTACCTGGACCTGTGCAAAGCATTTGACACTGTCCTGCATGACATCCTTGTCTCTAAACTGGAGACACAGATTTGACAGATGGACCACTCGGTGGATAGGAGTTTGGCTGGATGGCCACACTCAGAGTTGTGATGAATGGCTCAGTGTCCAAGTGGAGACCAGTGATGACTTATATTCCTCAGGGGTCAGTACAGGGACCAGTGCTGTTTAACATCTTTGTCGGTGACCTGGACAGTGGGGTCGAGTGCACTCTCAGCAAGTTTGCTGACAACACCAAGCTGTGTGGTGCAGTCAGTAAACTGGAGGGAAGGTATGCCATCCAGAGGGACCTTGACAGGTTTGAGGGGTGGGACTGTGTGAACTTCACAAAGTTCAACAAGGCCAAGTGCCAGGTCCTGCACCTGGGTGAAGCCAATCCCAAGCAAAAATACAGGTTGGATAGAGAATGGACTGAGAACAGCCCTGAGAAAGACCTGGGGGGTTTGGTGAATGAGAAGCTCAACATGAGCTGGTAATGTGTGCTCACAGCTCAAAAAGCCAGCCATGTCCTGGGCTGCATCAAGAGAAGATGATCAGCAAGTCAAGGAAGCTGATTCTCGCTCTCCACCCTGCTCTTGTGAAACCCAACCTGGAATACTACATCCATCTCTGGGTTTCCCAACATAAGGATTTTGACTTGTAGAAGTAAGTCAGAGGGTTACAAAAATGGCCCAAAGGCTGGAGCACCTCTCTCATGAAGACAGGCTGAGAGAAATGGCACTGTTCAGCCTGAAGAGATGGTTCTGGAAAGACCTTAAGCACTTTCCAGTACCTAAAGGGGGCTGCAAGAGAGCTGAGAGACTTTTTACATGGGAGCACTGTGATAGGACAAGGGGGAATGGCTTTAAATTGAAATAGTGTGGGCTTAGATTAGGTATTAGGAAGAAATTCTTTAATGTGAGGCACTAGCACAGGTTGCCCAGAGCAGCTATGGACACCCCATCCCTGGAAGCGTTGAAACACCCAACCTGGCCTTGGAGCAACCTGGTCTAGCGGAAGGTGTCCCTGCCCAGGGCAGAGGAGCTGGAACTAGATGATCCTTAAAGTCCCTTCCAACTACAACCATTCTATGATTCTATGCAATCAGAAAAGAAATAAGGTTCAGAGTAATACCTTTTTCATGAAAGTTTTAACAGCCACTGTGGAACCAGAGACAGCAGCCCCTCTTCAGCCTGACATCCAATATTATAAACTTTACTGTGGAAAGGAGGAGTATTAAGCCTTACAGGCTACTGCAAGTGGAACACTTAAACACCTTGCTGTTCTCTGGCTTTTTGTAAAAAACAGAGTTAAGCTAACATGGAAAAACATGACCTAAATGAAAATTCTTTGGAGATGATTCTAAATCTGAATCAGTATTGCTGCACATACCATATGCAAAGTTAATACTGTATTTAGGAGAGTTAACAAATCTTTAATCCTTTTTGCCCTATAGTATTTCTCAATTCCTATGGAAAACAGCTTTTATTTCCACAAAGTCAGCAAGCAGATAGTACCCTCTGGGATTGCCCACGTTAAAGAAAGTTTGCAGGTAAAATTCCATTCAACAGATTTTATTTATCAATTTGGTTTCGCGATTACAACTGCTTCAGTTTTCTTCCACTGAAGACAAAATACAAACTTTTACAGCAACACTTGCAGAGAACATTCATAAGGTAACAGCATGATATTTGCACAAGTTGGCTTCAAGAAAAAGCCAGATAACTTGAAGAGTCACTACAATTCAGTGCCTAAAACTGATTTAGGGGCAAGTACAACTACAGATCTGTGAGTTACCTTCCACTTCAAAACACAAGGCCAAGAAAAACTGCAAGTTGTTACTTCAGGTTTTTTGCTAGTACACAGCACAGATCAGCTGATACTGCCATTTCACAAAGGAGTAATTACTTTCAACAGTGAGGCAGCCAAGCACACGGTGAAGATGTATAACCCAGCCTCCCCTCCCCACAAACAACTAAAAGGGAAACAATTCCAGCCACGACTTTAAATCTGTGGAATTATACCTTGCTGGCAAGGCTAATGAGCAAGAGGTGTGTAGTGCAGGCCCTTTGGAATACGACTAAATTGATATAGCACAAACTTGAGTTTCTCAGATAGGCATCTGTACATGTCAGAGATCCTGGGTTTCTTAAAGTCTTCGAAAATAGCAATTGCTGGCACCACAAAAAATTTAGTAACTAAGGCAAGGTATACTTTCTCCCCTTTTAAACAAAATTTGAGGCAAACTATTAAGCAATTTTAAGGCACTTTAAACATTATTTTTAGTTCGCTTTACCAGCATACTTTATCATCTGTCTAAATCAGGATCAGCATAGCTCATGAATAAGCGTTTCAGCAACGTTTTACAGAGCAACTCGTTTTGTGGCAGTATCTCATGCTATGAAGTGTTCTGTAGGACTTTTCTGCAAGTTTCCCAAAAGAGAGCCCTTTGAGGCCAAAAATTATATATTAGGCATAGTTTGCTTTGCTGAGCTAAAAGCGAACTGTCATATTTTAGAAGAGTACTTTGTTCACTTCAAAGTACAGAACACAAGCTCATGCATATTGTTTGAAACAAATGGAATAAAATAGTTCTTAGACAGGGAAAGGACAGATTTAAGTGATTTCACAATAAGGCCAAGGATATACCACCTAACTCACACACACATTGTTGCTGGAAACTGGCTGCTCACTGCTGTTTTCATAAACCTGAGCTGATTGTCTTAGTTTTGTTTAGAAAATCAAAAGCTAATGAACTCAAAGATACAGTACTGGTGAGTAACCTCTGCATTTTGTAGCAATTTGAGTTTTCTACGCAGCATAACAGAAACAATGCCATTCAAACTAAAAGAACACAAGAAAGCAACACTGTACACTCTAAATTTCCAACTGAAGTGCACTTAATTTGCTTCGTATTTCAAGTTGCACTGCCATGACTATTATCTGCTATTGATGCTATTTTGTTTTGGGTGCCAATTTCCAGTCAAGTCAGAGCTAATAAGACAGTACTACAAATTATCTCAAAATTGATGATATCAGAAGCTATGCATTATGTGCTACATACACCACTTGATTTTATCTTTCCTTCCATTTTTCCTGTGGGTTTATTTTCACAGGTGCTCAAGTCAGTCTGCATTGGAGATGACGTACCTTTGATACTCAGATCACATGGCTGATCCAGCCAAGTTAAAAACCCCAACCATTTGGCTGAATAGATTTCCTTAACCAGTTCACTG